GTCCACTGAATCTCCTTATTGCATTCTAAACTAGGTTTGATTTTTTTGTTTTGTTTTCTTTGAATTATAAGCCCTTGAAGAATGTGCTACAGGTGGGAATACCCCTTGGTTCTGCTCTAAGCCAACTATGTAAATATGGGATACCCCCAGGAAAGGCTGTTTGTTCAATCATGCCCATCTTCCCAGTAGTTGTCCCTTGACATCAGTCCTTTTCCTCTAATGTGTCCTCTATTATATTGCCAATGGTGATCTTCCTGAAATGCAAAACTGATCATAGCATTCTTCTTTTTAACAAACACCCTTCAACTGTTCCTCACTTCCTTTTAAGAAAAATTCAAACTTCTCACCATTGCCTACGAAGCTCTGCAATGAAGCTCTGGCCTGTCACCACACCCTGTTTACACTGGCCAGCTTTCAGCTCTTAGAACACACCAAACTCCCCTGCTTCAGACCATTTTTTATAGGCAGTTCCCTTTACCTTCAACATTCTTTTTCCCTGCTCTTCACAAGACAGATTCCTTCAAACTTTAAATCTCAGCTTGTATTTTCTAAATTAGGTATAATTTCTCCTTATTTCCATGTCTTAGCATACATTGTTCTCTGTCCTAGAGGGACCCCACTCTTCACCACTTTCTTTTCTGACTTAACTAACTCTTAACTCTCATATAAGACATAAACAGCATCATCTCTTCCAGGAAGGTTTTCTTGACAAGGTCAGATATTCATTCCCTATCTACTATTGACAGCCACGGAGAGCCTTCTCTTTTGACTGTGATAATATATAAATCTGTGTTCATGCATGGAAAGTTATATGTAGTTCCTAGTGAATTATCTAATGTACAGATCAATGGGTTTTTATATAAAAAGTGGCATATGCATAATTTGAAAACTTGATCTCTTATGTATCAAAGGAATATCTTCCTTCTGTTTTATTAGCTTTATTAGCCACTACAAGTAATAAAGGTCACTACAGTCTTGAATGAGCATCTTTTGAAATGTGTATATAAAAAGGGGATACTACTATAAATGACTGATCCAAGCATTTCCCATACATCATGTAGGATGCCTACACCCCAACATTTAAACTTTTAACACAATAAAATTATAACATCTGAAGTTTGAGTATTAATGTAATGCTACGTGAGGGGGAGAAAAAAATGGACTAGAAATTCATACATAAGATTCTAATGTTGTAGGGAGATACACACACACACACACAAACATACACATACACCCCTAGAGTAAGGAAATATTCTAATACCTAAATAGATCATTTCTATTTTTTGTATTTTTCCAAAATTTGACATACATAACTATAAAAGTAATATAGATTACTTTTTAAGAACAATTAATTTTTTATAAAAATGTACTTTCTATAAATTGTTCAAACTATATCTCTGCTAAAATAAATACTTACATCATCTGAATCTCCTGAGGCATCACCTTTTTCACTATAAAAAAAAATAAGCAAAACAAAATTTAGTTTCAAGGTAAAATTAATAAAGTTATTTTGTAACCAAAAAATCTAGAATAGTTTGCAGGGAATAATATTCCAAAAACTTATTTCAACATAGGAATTTAAGAAGGGCATTATAGAGCAGATGGAAACATTCTTTAGAGTCATTTTTTTATAAGTGGAGTAAGTATGATTCATTAGCAAATACATGAGTTCACTAGAAGTTGAAAGAAAAAAGCGAACAACAACCAACAGTGTTATTTTTATGAACAATGGTCGGCAGAAAACAATTTATTCTATTGGCTTGAAGTATTCTGGCTGAAAAAACCCAAATCCTTCAAATAAAAGGATGTTAAGATTGTCTTAAAATATGTTTTGAAAATGAGCTAAACTCAGTACAACAGCATTGTAGTCCACCTTGAGTTATTGGCCCAGTTTACCTTGTGCAATTACATCTAATACCAAGACATCTTCCATTCTCAAAGAGAAGCAACAAAGGTAGCAAGAAAACTTTCTATTAACTCCTCAAGTATGTGAGAATTTATAGTTAGTGGACTGGCCCCAAACTCGTAACTGCTTCACGAAAACCTTCAACTCTAATTTGTTCATTCGTGATACAATTAAGACAAAAATGCTTCAAAGAAAAAGTCAGCAAAACAACCTTGAATTAAACATTCAACTGTTGAAGTAAATAGTTTCTAATCCTAACTTGTAAAGGTTAAACAATTTTAAACGTCTAACTCATTCAACAGAGGTAGAAAGCAAGAGTGAAAGTGACTAGAGCATTTGTTTCTCTCTATCATGCTTGAAGTTCTCTCCCTCTGTTATCAAAATGCTTTATTTTTTTGGCTGGCTTTAAAATTTTTGACTTATGAGGACCGATTGTTTACTCACAAAAGAAGCAAGAAAATTATCTGAGCCAGAAAATTAAGAACTTAGGATCATACCAACAACTGACTAACCTTTCTACAACGGGAACAGAACTGAGATGTGGATCATCCTTAAGCAAGTCATGACTACTTTTGCTTTTGCCCTTCATGCTCTGGAAAAGAATGTACAATATAATCATGAGTGAGGAAATAAACAGCATTCCTAAATGACAAGTTAACAAATTTACATAAAATCTAGCAATGACATAATAAGAAAAATATGTAGAAGAGCCTCTTGAACATGAGAATATTTATCAATGAACAAATATTTTTTAAATGCTCTAATTTCAAAGTTCGTGTTTTTAACAAATGTACACTTTAGAAGGGAAACAAGACATAAAAAGGTTTAAGAAGTAGCATGATAAAACAATTACTGCTGCTATTAAGTATTATGTATATTCTTTGTGCTAGTTACTGTGCTCCAAATAGTCCTGCTACTCCTCTCTTCTTCTCTCCCCAAATTAAAGTATATGATGTGGGAATTATTAGCCCCATTTTACAGATAGTTAAAGAGATTAAGTAATTTTTTAGAGGGCACAAAACTAGTCAGTGGTAGAGGATCTAGGGTTTATATCCAGGTCTGTCTGACAATAGTACCTATATATCGAAAATCTAAATGTACCAATTTTTCTTTTCCTCTAGGCCCCTATGAACCCAGAACACTGGCCTGGTTTCAGAGCTGTAATCCCCTGTTCTACAGACTTCCCTAATGCAGGGTGGGACACCTCAAACTTACCTTTTATCTTGAGGTGGGAAGCTGCTTACCACCCCAACTCCCAACTAATCATATAAAAGGGAATAGTAAGAGATTAGAGTTGATAGAAAGAATAATTCTGCTTTAAAACATTTTGAAGACAATTTTATTAGGAAAAATTTATTACAAAATATGCCCGGCGCCAGTAATCCCAGCTACTTGGGAGGCTGAGGCAGAAGAATTGCTTGAACCTGAGAGGTAGAGGTTGCAGTGAGCTGAGACTGTGCTGCTGAACTACAGCCTGAGCAACAGAGCAAGACTCCCTCTCAAAAAAAAGAAGAAACAAAATATGTTAACTAAAATGTTTAAATGTTAGATACAGAGAGATGAAAACACCTCTTTCCCATAAGCTCCATTCACCACTTATAATTTGAAAAACAGGCTCTTAAAAAGATTTTTAAAATTTTTGTATTAATATGGAGCTCTCCATAGATTTAATCAATTAAAACATGCTTATAGTGCAATTTCGTAACATAAACTTTCTCCAACAGTTCATCTAAATATTATTCATAGTTTTAAAAATCATAGAATCTGAATTATGCAATTAATCTATATTTCTAATTTCATAAACTTAAACCAAGGAGTGACGAAAAAGCAAAATGTAATCTAATTACTTGTAATGTTTGTCCAACTATGAAAAATGGGGGAAAATATTCACAAAACAGAGGGTGGTGTAGTAGAACACAGAACAAGAAGAAAGATGACGGTTGGACCAAATGAGTTTCAAAATCTAATATTCCACAATTCTATGGGGTTTAGTCCAAAACATGTACCATTTGTTGAAACACAGTGATCTCATGAGACCTCAGCTACATTGCCCATAAAATGGGAATAATAATAATAGCAGCCTTGCCTATTTCACATAAAAGACTTGATTATCTGCAAAAATGTACAGTGAACATCAAATAACTTAAACAAGAATAAAAGCCTGAACATCTTTTGTTTATGCTTTGCTTCCTTAAAATTCCTTCCTCCTGCATCTGTGGCCATAAGATTATCTTCATCTACACTCAGAAATAGTCTAATATATAATAATAGAGAATTAACAATTTATAATTAACAATATAAACTAACATTCACAAAGAAGTGAAATAGTATTGCTCATTAATGGACCAAGAGCTTACTTAGAGATCTGAATTCTAATCTTGCTTTTACTATTTATTAGTGTAAGTCATTTTCTGATCTGTGGACTAAAAGGCTAGGAACCTCTGTTCATTGTTAATGTATTTTAAAAATGAGTTCTCATATTATATTCTTGAAAATCACTAAGAGAGATTTTGTTTCTCTCCATAAGAAATGATAAGTCTGTGAGGTAATTCATATGCTAATTAGTTCCATTTAGCTAATTTTAAAATTAATTAATTTTTTAAAGAAGGTTCTTGTCTTCCAAAACTTACTTTAAACTGTTGAAAGGAAAAAGGAAAAAACTTGTTTTACACTAACTTAAAATAAGACCTGACAATAGGAGGAACCCGTGTTTAATTTTAATAATCATTACCAATTAAATTTTTAATTAACTTTTAAAATGGAATTAGTATAAAAATATATGAAAAAGGCAAATTTTTAGGCCTCTCTTCCTGCTACAGTAGACTCTGGATCCTGCAAGGAGAGAAAGCACATTGGAGATGAACTGAAGAAATTAGGAGACAATCCTAAAGAGGATGAAAATGAATTCGGACATTTCCCTTTAATGCCTACTCTTTCTGAATGACCTACTTTAAGGTTCTTACTTATACCGTCAGGTAACAACGAATTTAAAGGAAGAACAAACACCAAATATCTTTTTAAATGTTTTAAAATTGCTTAAAATAAGTTGGCTAATTAAAAGTTTTAGCTGATGAATGAAATACTAGATATACTTAGTAAATTCAGTGTTAGGAGCGTCACAGAAAATTCAAAACTATCTGCAAACAAATGTAAAAATGGAAATCAGAGGAAACATAGAAAAAATAAGTTATCTGGCACTTTATATCCAAGAACAAAGAGGCAGTAAAACAGTAGGAACTAAATAGAGTACAGGCAGAAGGGGGCAGAGGGAGAAAGGAGAAGGAGTGCGGAGAGTGACAGCGGAGACAGGGAGAGAAAGAAGAAAGGAAGGAAGGAAGGGAGAAAGAGAGGAAGGGAGTGAGGAAGGAAAGGAGGGAGGGAGGAAGAAAGACGGAAGCGAGAAAGGGAGGGAGGAAGGGAGGAAGACAGGGAGGAAAGGAGGGGAGGAGGGAGGAAAAGAGGTAGGGTAAGGAGGGGGAGAGAGAAGGAGCAAGGTACACAGGAGCGACATTGGCCAAGAAGCTGGAAGGTCTGGGGCTCAATCTCTAACTGTATGGACAGTTAATTTTATGAGTCAACTTGGCTAGGCAATGGTGCCCAACTGTTTAGTCAAATACCAGTCTAGAGTTGCTATGAAAATATATTTTAGATGGGATTAGTATTTAAATTAGTAGGCTCTCACACACACATTCTATTGGATACTTCTGTTTCTCTGGAGAACCCTGACTAATACACTCTGAGACCTTTGGTATAGAATCAGAAAAATTTATTAGTTAAAAAAGGGATTTTAGAGGCCACAATCTTTTCTCCCATGCAATGCAGGAATCTCCTTGACATCACTGCTGACTGGTCAACCATGTCTCAACACCTCAAATGAGCTTATTAATACACACACATGCACACGCACATGCACACAAACACATTTCTTTTAAAATGGCTTATATTATTAGAAAATTCTCTGATTGCAGAGAAAAAAAAACCTGTGTGTATTTTCCAACCATTCAACCAAGCCTATTTCTACCTTCTAGAACTACAAATAAGGACTATTATTAGGCATACTATATAAAGTTCGTTTAGACATACGTTAGACAGAATAATGGGTCCCTACAATGTCCACGTCCTAATCCCTCAGAGCCTATGAATGTATTACCTTATATGGCAAAAGAGACTTCACATACAAATGAAAGATTCTGAGGTGGGGACATCATCCTGGATTATCAAGATGGGTCCAGATGTAATTTTACAAGAGTCCTTACAAGTGAAAGAGGGAGGCACCAGAGTTAATTTTAAGTGATGCAGCATGGAAAAAAGTTTACCAGTTATTGCTGGCTTTGATGATAGAAGAAGGGGCACACCAAAGAACAGAGGCCGTCTCTAGAAGTGGAAAAAGGCAAGAGACTAGATTCTCCGCAGAGCCTTCAGAAAGAAGGCCCTGCAAACTGATATTTAGCCCAGTGAAACCTATTGCAGACTTCTGATCTCCAGAAATATAAGATACTAAATTTGTTTTGCTTAAAGCCACGAAATTTATGGCAATTTGTTAAAACAGCAATACGAAATTAATAAAATGTTAGTACCTTTGTAAAATTAGCTAAGTCTAAGCAACTAGAAAGATAAGCAAATTAAAGTTGAATAAAATTTGATGAGGCAGAGGCATTTTACTAATTACATTTTTTAACATTTCTGACTTCCTCTTTGCAAACAGCCTAGCAGCATTCTCCATGCTATGCCCACCTCCCAAGTTTTTTTGGGAAAGTTTAATTTCATAAAATAAACTAGAATAGGACAAAACATTCTTAACTTTATTCTCAAAAGTGGTGAAATTGTCTATCAAGATAACTTTTTCTAGGTGAGGAAAAAGCCCTTCTCTAACTCTGGATTTGAAGTAAAAATGTTAATATGTCTTGCAGGGAAAGAAATACTTTGTGCGTCACTGTGAATGTCGTACAATTGATTACTGTATAAAAATCTAGCTATTGAGATACTTTTAAAATGGGCCTGTTTGACTTACCACATAAAAACTAGTTGTCTTGATTGTAAGCTTTAACTTGAAAAACATTTCCTGACATTTGTATTTAAGTTATATGTAAAGATTCATGAATAAATTTTAAACCAATATAGATGTTTAAATAAAAGTATTGTTTAAGAAAGCAACATGAGGGAGCAATATTCCAGATAAAAATATTTCAAATATTTGAAGTCTAGGATCATATTTTCACTTAGTTTTATTTCTCCAAAGTGTTAATATATCCAGTTCCTCCCTGCATTCCCTATGTGAGGCGGTTTTTGGCATCATCTTCGTTTTCCTCACCAACTTCCCGTCCTCTGGATGCATCTAGTTTGTCAAGATCTTTCTTAAGTATGTTCAGAATTGGACAAAATGCTACAAGTATAATCTAAACAATGCAGAGAATGTTAAATTCCTTATTCCAGAGCTCTTACGCTTAGTAATTCAGCTAGGACTTAAAGGACATTATGTCATACCTGAAGCTGATTGTATTGAACTCAAGTACGGAATTCACATGTACTCCTATTACATTTCCACTTACTCATTCAAATAGGCACTGGTTAACAACAAAGCACCCTTTGGGC